TGTTGTGTTTGACGATGTTCTGCACCATCCGCACCGCGTACTTATATACTCGGTGACGCGTTGGTGTAAACGCAGCAGTAGCTGTTTATTGGAGTGGGCGAACGTAAATCTTGTGCGGTGGGGGTGGCAGAGAGCGTTGGTCAAGAGGACTGGTGATGACGACATGAATGCGGACCTGAGACCCCGGAACCGAGTCCTCTATCTTCTGTCACCGGTTAGTTGGAGCAGGAGGAGGAGGGGTAGGGGTAGGGATGAGGAGGAGTGAATGCCTCAAGTAATGCCCCAACATTGTGAGGGTCTACGCAATCAACGTTTGTTATCAACCTTATCCGCATGTCAACTTCTGGGAACGAAATCGCGTGTGCACCGAGAAAATTAATTGTTTTGCCCTCCACCGATGACGATAAGGGCAAGGAGACGGGCGTGACGATGGCATTTTGCATCGTACGAGAAATCATGTGCACAGGTATTCCGGAGGGGCGACATTGTTTATTCGCAAATGTACTTCCTGCACCGCATCAATCTTGTGTCGGTACAGTTGGCGTTGGACAAAGAACTTTCGTTTCGTCTACTGCATTGCAGTACGGCGCCGTCTACCAAACACCAGCGTTGCTGTGGAGGCTCAAGAAAAGTGTGTTGCAGTGCATTAAAAGCAAACTGTCCTCCCTACCTCACCCATTGTCACTGATGAACGGGGAAGACTAACACTCTTAGAAGGAGGATTTCGCCTTACCACACCTATCTCATAACACCATCTTGGCCTCATCTGCTTCCTCCTCTTCGTTCACTTTGGATTTCGTTGGTGCATTAAGCAGTGGCCGATTAGTCGTAAGTTCGGCTGGTATACAAGTGAGTGTCACTTCCTTCAGCTTCGCCTGTCCACTCCTTTGAAACGCACAAATCCGCTGTAGAGGAGGGGAGAGGGTGGAGTTAAGGGAAGGATAATGAGCAGGAGGTTGAGTTTTGCTTCCCCTAGTAGTCGCGCCCGAATGCAGAGCACGCTGTTTGCTGTGTCTCGCTCACCAGTTCTGTTTAATGTCAGGCAAGGGTGCCATGACCCTTCATTATGCAAATCTCTCTCTCGTCTCTCAACCCCAGTCCCTCGATTAAACACACCTCTTCAGATCCACCACCTTGTCAATAAATTAATCCCGTCACACGTCACACACTTTTGACTTCTACAGACAGATTAAAATATCCAAGTAAAGTATGCAAATGAAACCGGACGAATTTTGGAAAATCGACAACCATTTGCGGGTAACCAAACACTGCCAACAATGGAAGAAAGGAAACAAGGAGTCGGTTACAAGGAGGAGGAGGAGGAGGAAAGGTAGGAGGTGATGGTAGAAGCTAATAGTTGTTGTGTCAGCACGAGAGCCACCTCCTCCTTATTAGATCAGCACAGGGTGGGCACTGGAGCCCTTGTGTTGATGCCACTATACTCACCAGCAACTCCACCTCCACCTCTTGGTCACGAGATCGCTTCACACTGTGACCGTTTACTTGCTTCTGAGCATGCTTCGTGCTCCCATCCCACTGTCACATTTTTCGCGCTGTCATATCTTGCCTTAACCACATTCAATGCATTCGATTCCAGTGGCACCAATGATTGCATGCCGGCAGTGGAATACTTACATTGCGAAACTACGAACTTTGTCACAAAGAGGCACACCTCAATACGCCATCCTATGGTTTCGTTGATATCCGCACCAGTTATCCATGCTGAGGTGTGCTTTCAATTCCCTACTTTGAGTTTCCCCAATTTTGTGACAGTGCGTTTACGCATGAGCATGTCTAGACAAGTTTCTTCTTCGCTGCAATGTTGTTAAGTTGCTCACCTGTAACATGCAATCCAACGGGAATGGACTGGAAGTCAATGGACGAAAGGAAGGTGAATGAACTGGTTGTCATAACGTCAGAGCGTCTATGCCACTCATTGTGATCAGTTGCATGGAAGGAGGAGGTCCTGTTGATGATAAGGCAGATGAGGACGAGGACGAGGAGGAGGAAGAGGAGGAGGTATTGGCAGCATTGATGGTATTAGCACACAAGAACCGTCTCCACCTCAACGACGTACCCTATGGGCACAAAACGCCCATCATGCTTCGCCTGCCCCTCCGGTGAGCAGATGCACCACAGTCCTCCAACCCTCCATTCGCCATCACTAGCGATCAACCTGATGGACAAATAAGACGGATTGTTCGAACACGGTCTATCAGCTTTGATTCGGCTCTAGTAGTTTGCCAAGTGGTTGGTGGCAGGCATCGAGGGTGGATGCATCGCCTCATGGTGCATATCTGTGCAATGAGGTGAAGAGTGTTATGTGCTGGGTTAGGTTAGGTGAAGAGGCGCTGGATACAGGCATAGATGGGCACAGGTGGGTGGATAAACCACAATGTCATGAGACTGTCGCACTGTGACTAACAGTAATGGTGGATGGGTGGAGGAGAGGCAGGTGGACAATTGCTATGTGAGCGTATGGACGAGTAGAGAGGACGAAGAAAGTAAGCATTGTGCGGAAGAAGAGGCA